AACAATTAGGAAAAAATGATAAGATGCAAAGTTGTATAAATTTCAAAGAAGAGATTAAGAATCCTAGCCCTCTTATGTAATAGGTAAAACGAAAGATTTTCACAGAAGTCAGTGATATATGAGGCAAGAAACAAAGAACTGGGGAAAATCTAACACCAAGATAGGTACTACTCCACTTATTCAGAGAAATATTATCATCGATTTTACAATACTCAAAAGACTGAAGCAGTTCCCACTGAACCCAATCATTTTCCTGAAAGTATAATTAACAGTTTGATCTTTAGAAAGCTATGAATTAAAACAGTCGTACAAAAACCACTTGTCAAAATTAGTTAGCAAACTGTCTACATGATAATTTAATCGGAACCCAGAGTGTCGAGGTAATTCATGGAGAAAAAGAAAATAAAACAGAAGTGGAGAACGCACGTCACCTAAAGGTAAACAAATGAAGAAAAATTTCAAATTCATTTCCTGTGCACGAGTGAGCAATTTGTTTCTCTGTTATCAATCATAACAAAAATTAATTATTCATAATTTCTTGCTCCTAAGGTCGACCTCATGTGAAGAATGTCATATCAAATAACTGAATACATCATACAAAATCCAATTTATTTTTTTATGTGCTTTCGAAAATACTTACGATACATATGTACATTTATATATTACTTCCAATGTTTTAAGTAATAATAAACCATTATAAAACATTTTATTAGTGTTAATACTAATACACTTGCCATACATTTATTTGTTCATTTCTATGCGACTTATCTATTATTAATTTCTATAAAGTATAATACCTCAGCTAGTTGTGTAAAGTAAGTTAGGTAATAACAGTCTATTTTCTCACTACTGTCATTACTTCGTAGAATTTTATCGAGCTTGCTCATGAATACATGCACCGGACTAGTTACTACTTCGCTCTGTATGGAATAGAATGGTTATTACTACTGTTATAATATTGAACGCTTTGTTTATTTTTGTGCCTGTGTGAGTGAGTGTATTTCATGGAAGTGAACAAGCTCAGCTGTTTCTTAATTTGGTAAATTTAATATCAGTATTCTTCGTTATTGCTTTTGTTGGAAAAAAAAATAGGTAATTATAATAATATTTATGATATAAACATGAGTGAGAGAAATGTAGATATAGATATGACAGTAGCAGAATCAAAGGAAGTAGTGGCGATCATAATAACACTATTAATAATAACGACAACAATTTTTTCATGTTTTTGGTCGTAGAGATTTGACTGATATTAGGGTAGATTTCGTCAAATATCGACTTCAATTACTCAAACATTGAGAACTATTTAGACCTGGATAGTAGTTTTATCCTAGTTTGAGACTTTGTTAGTGATCATCTATGATCGTGTGTGCGCCGGTGGCATAGCGGTTAGGACGCTCGCCGACCATGCACATGGTTCGGGGTTCGATCCCCGACCGACGCACTCCTTTACCTCGATAAGCCAGAAATAATGCTGGTAAAGAGGAAGCGTTGGGCATGAGGCTAGCAACCCCATCCTGTAAAAATAAACACTGCTACAGAAACTTCAAGCCTCTAGCTTGAAGCCCTGTGTTCCACTGGGAACGTGAAGGAATAAAAAAAATCCATGATCATCCATTCATTGAAAAATGAACCCAGAACTTAATGGTTACAGACTGAAATCTGTTCATCCATGAATTCAAACTTCTGTTAATTCATGAGGTAGCTTCACCGCTTTCCAGTGCCATCGGCGTTTATCTATTGTCACACGCGACATGGTATAGTAATGATGATGAGATTATCAATGACTGTTGAGTGATACACTGATATCGACGTAAAGTTAAGGGTATCGATAAATCCCTTCATTCGGTAGGTGTTTGTTTAAAAAACCCAAAGATCCACTACTGATCTGTAAAATTTTGTCTGAGAAATAAGAGAAAATAACTTTAAATATATATTTAGTGCAGGAATCTGGGAGCACCATCAGTCACTGAGGACAAACGCATCTAGGTGATGAGTTTCAGATAGAATGAAACGCCCATCCCCGACTCCATTGCTAATCGCAATCAACCAAATAATATGCTCAAAATATATGAACTGAAGCAGGTAAGTTGTAGGTGAAGGATTGTATGTATTGTTTCATATCGAGTATATAGACAGATGTAGTACAAACAGTAAGCATACTAAATTATAAATTTAGAGGTTAACAAACAGATTTTAAATTTAAGCTATGCCTTGTTTGTATAATTTATTTACAAAATGTATAAATCACTATCTAAACATGTACAATACATTTCCACAATTTAGCTAATGAGTTTAGTAATTACAAAATTAGACCACTAAATGGTAGGGTTTCTGTTAAAACTGATACTTTCCAGTGTTATCAAAACAAGATGGGACAGTTATTAGGTAATATCTCATCTACTTCGAAATGACCTCAGAGTAATTAATCTGGATGTTTGTGAGCTACTCATTTTTAAGTTGAAGACTGATTAACACTCTCTTTGCGAATCTTTAGTATTCAGTAAATTGTGCGTATTCTACTTATCACTTTAAATAATATTACGACTGTGAGAATGTACTACTATGTGTGCTGTGAGTAGTTGGTTTAAACTTCACATAAGAAAGATACTTTAATTGGTTAGTTTCCGTTCACTACGTAATTTACTTCCATATGAAATACACAGTTACCATTCATTAAAGGGAAGATAATAAGCGAAAGGCTGAACCTAACATTAACAATTTATTTTTTATTCATCCAGAGGTATTTACACAGAGTAATGTGTGCTTAATACTGGAGCGCGAATTCATTATTACGATTATGGTTAGTGACATTGAAGTGATTAAGACTGTTGAAAGTAGAATTGATCTTTCCTAATGACAAAATATATTGAACACTAAGAGAATCATAAAACCCAGAAGTGGTGTCATAATCTCCGAATAATAACAGTAACACCTTGCCTATTTCACCTTAGATTCTCCTCAGTGTTGTCACCTTCTTCTGATGTTTCTTTTTCATAAACTTTTCCATAGACATATGAATTATTATTACATCTCCGAAGAAGTTTCTCTATGTGATACTTATATCCAAGGATAAGAAGCGCAAACCGAAATGCAACTATCTGTTGAACTCAACACAGTATCACCATTAATCGAAAACACACTCTAAGAAAGTGTAGCGGTAAATAATTCCCCAAAATTATTGACCACAGCAGTCATCACTCAACATTGGATGCTGACCATCACTGTTTAAGTCGACTTGTTTAGCTGAAGGCTTACGGTCAAGCATCCCCGCCATTTGGTACTTCGTCGTGTCACGTGCGTGCACGATTACTAGCTAGCTAAGCATTCACCTCTACCCTCGATTTTGTCCCGAAATATGCTACGTACTTTGGACGACAAAATCTGGTCTTTTGCTTTATCTTTGGTACTCGAAGAACGAACACTATAGAAGTTGTTGGTATAAGATCTTGCGTTAGTATAATCCGTACAACTCGCGAACGTCGATACCCGCAGTCTCTAAAAAAGCATACCTCTGAAGAAACTTTTCGGCATATTATCTTGAAGTTATGATCTGCATTAATGGCTTATTTAACAGCTGATTCTTAATCTTTTAATCCATTAATAACGAGAGGATTGCTTACTGTTCCACCACACTACAAATATATTACTAAATATAACCGAAAATGTTTTCAGGTTTGTTTTCTTTTTAAGTTCACAAGGAAGTTTATGAAGTTGTCTCTTAAAACTAGCTATTCAGTAAATATCTAATTTTCACCTTTATGGTATAATATCCCTAATATATTTATCTGATGCTTTTTAGCCTTCTAGGACATTGCTTTCAAAAATCCTTATTTGAATAACTCAGAAATGAAACTGTTTAAGATCGTTAAATTTATAATGTATCAAAAGACAAATTGTATGTCCCACTGCTGTCACCAATCAATGTATTTCTTATAAATCCATTCACTTTTCCCCTTTACTTTGAAAGTCTTTCATGTATTTACTTGAAAACTGAACTTTGTGCATTGAAACATTTCTGCTTCATTTGCAATTACTTCAGCTCATTGGTTGTAAATCAGATTCATGTGTGCATTTACGATAGTATATTTAACCTACATTTTGCTGATGGAATATGGTGTTCTGGTTACACTTTTTTGATTCAAATTTGTTATATGGGCATGCAAAATATTTCGAGATACTGTTCATAACTAATTTCATCTCTTTAGGAAAAGATAAATTATTATAACACCCTTCTTATGCAGTCCATATGTGGAAATGGAACTTCCATGGAGTATTTCAATCACGTGGTGTTATAGCCCTCCCAACCATGGCAGAAATAATAATATAGATATTTGTTGCTCATTAAGATGTGTAATCATATTACTTTTCCTCAAAAGCAGTTATAAATTATTCAGTAATGTTGTTGTGTCACACATATTTATTACTGTATATTAGACTACTGTAAATATAAATACGTTAGTATGGCCTATGAAGATGACTTTTTTTCCTTCACGTTCCCCAGTGGAACATAAGGCTTCAAGCTAGTGGCTTGAAGTTTCTGTAGCAGTGTTTATTTTACAGGATGGGGTTGCTAGCCTCATGCCCAACCTTTCCTCTTCACCAGCATTATTTCTGGTTTAGCGAGGTAAAGGAGTGCGTCGGTCGGGGATCGAACCCCGAACCATGTGCATGGTCGGCGAGCGTCCTAACCGCTATGCCGCCGACGTGGTGAAGATGACTATGTCTATGAAGAACATTTGCATCGCTGAATTGTCTTCTTATTTCCTTTACAACTCACCGAGTATCTTTGGTCCTTTACAGCAAAACTATTTAGTACCCTCTACTTGTTTGAAAATCAGTTGGTCAGAGATACTATTCAGGGGGAATATTTTTTCTACTGGATGTGAATTAATATTACTTTTTCCAACTAAAACTTGCATTGCATATAGCAATAACAGCTTTGTCTGAGTTACTACAATATGCTAATAAACAAAAAACTTAGAGACAGCAAAAGTTTATTACAAACGCTTTCTTGAAACTCTTGGAACAGATATTGCACATTTGTTAGTTGAAGAATAAACGTAAGCATTAATTATTCTCTGAAAATGTTTTTCATCCGCATGTAGTTCAATGTGCCTGTTTGCTACAGTGTCTGGTAAATATCTCTTGAAATGTAAATTTTGATATATACAGCTTTTGTAATTAGGTGATTTGAAAAAGTCTTCGTCTTTAACGATAGGAATGCCAGAAAGTGAATGTAAAAGCGGTTTGCGGTCTTGATAAAAACTTTCTGCATAAGTGACCTCCAGTGGATTGGAACCTGAGATTTAAAAATATATGCTTTCATTAATATATATAAATTTGTTTTTCAAAAGACTGCCACTTCTATCTGCTTGATGATGAGTCACATATACAAAAGTAAGTATTCTGTTGAAAAAACAGAATCCTTTTGTTTTGACATAAGTTAGACAGTGCATAAAATAAATCATAAAACTGCTATCTTTCTGCGCTCAAGCAGTTTATTTCTTGTCCAGTGATTTGCTTGTTTTTGAAGAGAATAGTGTTCTTTATGTGTTTGAGCTAATTTCAAAACTGTTTGGATGGTTGACGACAGTCAACAGAAGGTCCTGTATCAAGATTTTGTGGTTGTTAAAACTCTCGACCAAGGCTTGTCTTCAGCTTCAAAAAACCCTATGCATTTTGAGCGACTTGAATCCACATTATTTAATGCTGACGTCAGAGGTAGTGCTTATAAGATTGTGAAGCCATAAGTGGTTATCTGTAGGACTGAGTTACGTACACTGATCAGTTACTAGGAGTTGATCAATGTCATTTAGTCTCCTCCAGAGTGCTTACTGAATTTTAAAACAAAGTATGCATTTGGGTTACCAAGCTGGGAGACGAACTTTGCTGGTTAATTTGGCTGAAGGCAAATGAAAAGATACTTTTGACTTGGGTTGAGTGTTTATTTATGCTAAAGTGCACTGCCATAATGAATTTCCAAGATTGATGACTGAATTAGCTGATAAAATTTGGTTGTTATTAAAGTGTCTTTAAAACCAGAGAGATTTCCTCGTGTTAGCTAACAGAGTAAGAACCATTTATTCAGTTTAAATTATTTTATCTCACATAAATAAAAATAAACTATGTAAGATAAAGTGGCTTGGAAGGTAAAATGCTTAACCCACCTTGTTATTAAAGGTGACGCTCACCTGATAGGAGTTTTAGCAGCCTTCGAAGATACATTTCAGAAATTACACTGCACTGTGGCATATTTCACATTACTGTCCGGTATAAAACACTTAGATACATTCATCCATGAAATATTAGAACACGCAACAATCCTATGTAAATAACTGTAAAGAAAGAAATTATTGGCTGTAACTGCAATTTGTTAATTCTCACGTCAGCTTCCGTAAAATATTTGAATTTAAGCATAAAAGTAGTCGTAATTATTCGGGATCAGTACTAAACCTTTATCTTTGTGCCCAAGTCAAATATTTTTGTCATAAATTATGACCGAGAAGTTGTGTTTTCCCGATGTTTCTCTCTACTTACATCGTGGTGATGAAAGTCTTAGCAGTGCACTTTTTTATTATACACAAAACATCAGCTGTCAGTGTAGAATAGAAGTTAGGTTGATAGGGGTCCGATAATTACTTGTCTTGCACCTTAATTGTGGCAGTGGTCATTCTGTAAATATCTAGAGCTCCGTCGGTTTTCCAGTGGGCTGCATTTCGTTTCTATGATTCATTACTTATTTAATCTCTAACTGTACACCACTGACAAAGCAGGATTCCACGGATATTCAGTAATCTGTAGTAAAGTGAACAGATATTATGGCGAGACACATAGTAGTCAAGTTAAGTAGTTAGCCAGTAAAATCAATTCAAAAAACAGTGAGTTCATGGTTTTCACAGTTATGCTGCTAAAGTGTGAGAGTAACACGTGAATAGCTACTGGTTCAAACTAAGCAGTTACGTTGCCTTTCATTCAGGTTTCATCTCCAAAGTGAACAAAAGCATTCTAGAGACAAAAATAAAAATCACTTTCTGGATAAACGACAGTCATTCTGAAATCTTTTTCAGCAATTTTAACGTTAGGTGGAAGGTTTTTATATTCACGATGATAAAATTTCATGCCTAAAATTCAGAAAGTTAAGCGATTTGAAATGCTTTTAAGATCGCTACCAAAAAGGGTTTGACAATTTCCTCTTTGGGAGGCTTCAGACTATTAAAATAACTTTAAAAAGACGCTCGAACTGCAGAGGATTATGCACTAAGTCGCCTCAAAGTATCTGTAGTGCGCCCAGAGCCTGCGCCTAAGTTCTGCAGTGTTCCCGAAGTCAATATCAGCTGGGCATACAGTCAAAATTAACTATAGAGAACCAAGAGAACAACTAAAATCATCTTTATATCCTATGCGGAAGTTTTAGAGCCATTTTCGCTGTCTTTATATACAGGTTACTCAACGTTTTTTAACCTCCATGAAGTTACGACATATGACGGCTGTTTTAATACGAAAATAAACTTGTGTATATTACTAAGAATATGGTATCTATGAGGCAGTAATAAGTTTAAAATATCCATCTGATAGACGCTGCCCTTTTAACTACTATGACGGATTAAATTTCGAAGATTTTCCGAAATACAATAACAGATATGCAGATATAATGTTATAGATGGCCTGAATCCTTCCAGTTAGCATTGACTTCTGGCGCACCGCAGAAACTTTGTGGAAACTTCGGGCATACGGCAGAGACTTTGGGGCAGACTGATCAATAATTATTCATTTCGATTGCATCCAACCATCTGATAATTATGAATTCATTCGACATGATCTCTTCTAAAAATTCATTGAATTGTGAAAAGTCACTGCAAAATACGTAAATAATTGGCTTCAAAAAGCTTCATCAAATAATAACCAAAATTCTTTCTACCGAAAATTTGAAATACCTCATGAAGCGGTAACCTGCGAAACATCATTTAAAACTAACTTCAAATTTGCAGGTGAAGATATTCAAATTTTTTCTTCCCTATTGCCAAAAATACGTTTCCTTTGAAACAGAAAGTCCTCCTACTGGTTTTGAAAGGGTTGAACGAAATGGAAATGGTTACTTCAACCAACAGTTTTCTTGAGCATTTCCACAGTGTAGGAAGATTATCTAGCATCCACTGTCTAAAATTCCGTATTCATAAGGACTTGTGGCTGCATTTGTAAGCGTCTAACTAAGCTTAATTGCCATTTTATTTTTCAGAGGAACCTAAAGTAGGTGAGTCCGGATACATAGGACGTGGTGTGGATGTAACGTAAAATATAAAGCTCTATAAAAACTCGTGAAAAAACATATTTGGCTAGGTCATATGAACACACCAGAGTGTAACATTCTGGTTACAGCAGCTATGCATTCATCTGGAAATAGTCGGCAAATGTTTTCGACTGATATCCGCAAACAAAGTCGTATCACCGATAATTACTTTAAAATATTATGTTCTCGTCAGTGCCCCTAAAAGCAGTGGTTAGTTGTGTGTTTGCACAGATTTATGATACATTTTGCCTGTGTTTCCTTCATACAGTAGTGCTAATGTAAATTATATTGCCAAGCAGAAGGGATAGCTTTCAAGTCCTCAATGAGACTGTGTTATTCTCTGTATCCCCCTGAACATGAGTTATCATATTCTGTTTACAATTCAATAGGAATCAGTCAGACTGATGGTTTTGGGTCTTTCATCTCAGCGAAGTTGACGTCTGACTTAGTATGTGCTTTTAGCTTGCATTTCAACAGCTTCTTTCTCAGCAACCTCCTGATGGCATATCAGTAATTTATCACCAGTCTCCAAAAACAACTATCTAACACCCTTTAAAAATAGTCACTCAGTTGATAATCAAATAATGCCGTAACTCGTACTGGTATATCTTTATGCATTTACCCACAAACACAGCGGCAATAAAATTTCTTCGAAAACTTGAGGTTGAAATTATAGCTTTGCAACGTTTCATCCAGTGATTTTGTTGCTCCTAAGTTCCCGATTTTTCATAAACTGATGTTTGAGATATTTGTCTTATGCCATATCCTCATTAACCCAAATATTTGGACGAGATTTGCAGTCAAATCTAGTTTTTGATATTGATCAAGACCGTCCCACTCTTAAATATTTCTGTTATTTTTAACTGAGGAATAAATCAATGATCTGTCGGTCCACAAATATTGACCTCTTGTAGACCAGATCACTAACCAGTGAGATTTTACCACGCTGATTGCAGCTCAAATATTAGCTCAATGCTGGGGCATGTAATTGGTGTGTTAAGTCTTCGCGCAATCACTGCAGCTATATATTTTTAATTACATCACGTCTCACACATTAGAAATACTCGTTTTCCAATAATAATATGTTCTCAGTTTTTGTTCATGAGGGACGCCAGTTTACAGGTATCATCAATGTGATAAATAACATATACATGAAGTGAGCGCATTTACAATCATGCAGTTACACGAGACACATATTAGACAAAGTATTGAGATTATCCCTATTTGTTCACTGTACATAGGCATAAGCAGTGTGCACAGTATAAAACAAAGCATCTCTATTGAAGAAATTTAACCAAAACGCGAGACATATTTGATGGTCGCGTCACTAGGGATAGGTATGGTAGGTTAATTATAAAGTTATGTGATTGTCTTGTAAAACATTAGTAAGTTCACCGATAATAATAATATATATTTCACATAAATTAAGCATTTACATGATTGACATACCGTTTGTACAGGTATGATCATATTTGACAAGTGCAATTTGAAATGGAACACTGTTTTATGACATTAAAAATTGGAAAGATGGAAAAAACCCTGAAACTTTATTAGAATAGATTACAATATATTGGTTCAAGTCTAAATTATAATCTATAATATACTTATAGTCAGTCAGATTCATGCGGGAATTACGAAATGTTGCGTTAATGGAAGGTAAGAAGAGAGGTGGTACACAGGTGCTAGAGTAAGATATACAGGATACAGACCTTGTGATCATTATCATTTTATCAGTTAATAATGTTCTTAGTAACATTAACTGCCGGTATTTCACCACAGCAGTAAGTGACCTATTAAACCAACAAAGATGTGTTGTTACAGCAACAGGTAATTTTTAGACCATACGTGGCTAGTAACCTGAATAATAGAGAACTAATCCATATAAAATGACAAGTGGAGCCTATAGGAACTGGAAATTGCCATCACAAGATTCAGTGAGATTCTAACTGCAACCATCGGGATATCCTCATTGTTTCTAAAATAACCAGAATTACTGTCACAGTACACGTGGTGATCGGGCTTTATTTATTAGTAAGAAGTCCCTATTAACAACTGTCATCCACATTGCGTCGCAGAAGAAAATAGTAGGTATTTTGCGAGGCAGTTGTGGGGTTTGGGACCAGTAATTTTTCGCAGACCTCTTGTTATTATAAGTTCCCAAATATCTACATTCTCTACCGCCATTCAGAAAGTTATGTGGAAGCCAGAATGATGAGAGAAAAAAGAAAGCAAACGACAACAGCGGATAAAGAAGCACAAGGAGCCCTCAAGGAGTGATTTGTGAATTTATATATATACTTCGTATGGAAGCCATGATTCCTGTTGATACACAAACTAACTGGTTCTGTTGTGCGAGCTCTTATATTATATTTATGAACCAATATCTATACATTGTCTAGAGATGTGAATCATGTTCATCCAATAATATTAATACTTACTGATGAAGTTTATCGTTACCCATAAATATAATGGACCAAGTTTATCTATGTGGGGTGAAAACGAAGGTAATGGAGTCAGACTTAGGAGACCATTGTCATTCTTGAGGAGTTTGGTGACTGAGGATACGAAAACTGTGCGTGTGTTTTTATCACGCACATTGGCTGGTAGTCTATTTCAAGTGACTGAAAACTTATTTAAGAAGAATTTGTACTGTATGTGGGTCTGACAGTCGCTTGGCTGGAAATATTATTCCTAAGTTTTCATAGCCACTTTTTACGAGTCATATGTTAGATACTGTAAAGTATCAGTTTGCTAATATAGTGGAAAAACTATTACGAACCACTTTGGGATAATTATAGTCTTATGATTCTGCCAACCTGTTTGATGAAATATTGATAACATTTCTAATAAGCTGAATAATCGAACCCTAGGTCAAGCACGATGGGTAAATTGGGCGAGTTCTATCAAGTGTAACATATGGTAAGATGCCTGGGGCAAATGAATTTTCTCAAATTGGGGTATGCCACTGGGGTCCGTAGTACTGAAATTAGTTGAACAGCCTATGTCGAGGGACTTTTGTCGACAGGATCTCACTAAGGAGGCGTTGGAATTCAGTAGGAGATCGGCGACTACGTACAGTAAGTGGAAGTCCGTTCCATAGTGCACCGTAATGTAATTTGAAGAGACGTGAACGCAATTTCGTCCGGTACCGGGTTATGTATACAGAATGTTCATTATTCCGAAGAGTGTGTACGGTTGTATTGTTGAAAGCAATCGGATAACTGCTTTTAATGTAGCCATGTTAAAGGTGGAAGAGGAAAGTTAGGTTGAGTTTCAGGAGTCTTTAACAAACTGGACAAAGTCCATATTCTCGACACCTATCCGCGTAGATAAGTCCTTCATTTTTGTGTAATAGTGGTCGTATAAAGCTTCGCTGGATATTTTCATTACGAATCCTTTCATGCCCATGCATAATACTGAGGATGATTCTGCAGTATTTGAGTACTGGATTAGCCATGACATTTTACAGGGCAACTTTAGCCTCAGTTGTGCACATTTTTCAGTACAACAAGCCTGTGAGTCTTCGGCATTTAGAAACAACTGATTTTGCGTACTGACTTAATGTTAAGTTTTGTGAGTAGGTGACGCCTAGGTCTTTTATGGAATTGAGGGTTTGGCGAAAAGAGTGACCCAAGTGTAACTCGAAATTAGGGTGGAAGTTATTGAAGTATAGGACACCACATTCATTAGAATTGAATTGCAGTTACCGGGCATTGCTTTTGAAAAAGTATTAATTTACGATACTTCAGGGTTGTAATTTATAACATTACTGATCGTGCCTGCAAAAATGGCATGCATTTCTTGTAGACTTACCTGTTAATACGAAATATAAATTATTATTATCATTATGTAACCTATCCATATAGTCTTGAATATAATAATGATAATAATAATAGCTTTATTCCAAACAGTATTTGTGGTACAGGTATGGAATTTTCAGCATGCATTACAATATTGCATCTAATTACCTCATAAAATTTTATAAGATTTTAAAAATAAAAAGCAACAACAAAAAGAAAGATAAATAAAAGAAATAAAAAAGAAAAGTATTGCATTCACATTTTAAACAATGCACCACAGGATATGAAATATAAAATTAGTGTGTAATAGAATATGTGAGCAACAATATAATAGTAACAAAGAAAGGAGGACAAAAGCTAATGGGAACTTTTGTTAGAGAGAGATAAGGTATTGTGGAGTTTTTGTACTTGGTAGCCTCCTATAGCTGCTTCTAGTTCTACCAGATGAAATGCAAGGAGAGAGCTGCGTATAGAGAGGATGTTCGGGGTCTGACAATATAGAATTCGCTAGTTTCTTACATGACATATGTCTGTCCACAATAATGTTAACCAGTTGGTTTAACGAAATCCCACTTGCCCTACTAACAGCTTTTAGTGCCCTACGCAGCAAAGCAAAATCCTCCTTAAGTAGTCCAGGAAAGAATAATGGGGAGCAGTAAAGAGGGATGGTTAGAATACAAGAATTGACAAACTGAGAAAGCAAAGACTGCTTTATACCAGACTGCCTTAACTTCCTAACGTAGAACGTTGAACGAAACATCTTTCTAGTAACTAGCAAGATGTGAGAGGACCAGGAAAGATCGGAGGAAATACTAAGTCCAAGGTACTTGACATTAGATGTAATTTTAACCTCTATGCCGTCAATGATAGTGGGACCATGGGATATGTGTGAATCCCTCGTTCAGAGAAGAATAGGGGAAGCTGTAGACAATCTTTAGGTCGTCAGCAAAGAGGTATGGGACACCACGCTTGCGTCGGTGGCACAGCGGTTAGGACTCTCGCCAACCATGCACATGGTCCGGGGTTCGAGACCCCGCCGGCGCACACCTAATATCTATGGTTGGCCTGCAAAATTTGGGCTACCGATATCACATGCTGAACATTCCATACTTGTACCAAAAATACGGTGTGGAATCAAGCTATAATCAAAAAAATACTGCAGATATCGTTAAAGTAAATTACGAAAAGTGATGGCACTAGTGCACTACCCTGAATCACCGCACTTCGTATGGGTCTGGGTGACGAGTAATTGTTTGCTAATTTCACAACTTGGGAACGGTCTTCCTAGAAAGAATTGAGCCAGGATAACAAGGGTTCTTTGAAACTGTATGACTTAAGCTTAGGAATTAGTCTCTTGTGTGGGACTTTATAAAAGGCCTTCTTGAAGTCGAAGAAGGGAGTTGTGACAAGCAAACCGCGATCGCGGTTGGCAGTATCACCACCAAAGTAGCCAAGTAGGCAGGTGGGGCATGATCGACTTATAAAGAAGCCGTGTTGTGCTGGAGTAAACACTTTGGGATGGTGGAGGTATGAAGCAATATCTTTCTCAATGACATTTTTCATAACCCTGGAAACTACTGAGGTGATATTGATGGATCGGTAGTCTCCGACATTAGAATTTGGTCCTAGCTAGGAGTTATTCATCTGCACGGGATATCATGTAACCCCGATGCAAACTTACGATGACATTATTGAGCCAGGGCCGGAAATTCAAGAGTTGCAAGATGACCCTATTTTAAAGTGTAAAAGTTCTGACCTCAATACAACCTACTGAACGAACGCTGAACCCCTACTCTGGCTTTCAGTTAATGCTTTCGAAGTTATGGCCACAAGGCCTCAACCTGAATCATTTTATATTAGGCTGTACTTACCTATATCTAAGATACGTTTTACAAGCCGGTACAAACAGAATTGATTTCTTCGATCTTCCTTCATGTCTGTTAGGTGAAGGTTTCTTATCGTGAATGAACATCCGCGTAGTTTGTTCCGCTACTCAACTGTTGTAGCTCCAATGAACTCTGAGGGTGGTGATAAGGTTTACAGAGTACAGCGTGTTAATACCAGGCTGCTGCTGAGAATGTAGTCAATCCTCTCGCCTGTTATTCTTCCGACGTGGTAGAAAAAGTGATGGTGATGATGCCTATATGGACTTCAGTAGCTTCATTTCATTCAAGATTTCTGTTTTTGTTGGAGGATTGGTGACCACTGGCAGTTCTATGCCTGCTACTGGTGGTTTGTCTGGACGCGCTGCTGGTGACAGGCGATTCTAGAGTCCCATGAAGGGATCAGCCAGTTGTTTAACTTGTTTTTTATCCTTGGTAATCAGATTCCCTTGAACATCTTAATTGGTTTAGTCATCAGCGTTGATCTCTTTCCGGATGGAGACCTGATTATTTGACATAAAGTTCTGAGGTCTCTTTTACCTACGGCCAGCCGATTGTGCTTCAGTTGCCAGCCAGTGTGTTGCAGAATTGTCTTCTGTCTCTCCTAGCACTCTCCTTCACTTCTTTATTCAGCGCAGTGTACAATGGACTCAGCTTCTCCTTATATTGTGCATCTTTGTATTGAGTCATCTCTATCTTCATCCTCCCATCTATTTTATCAGCTTCCAGGTAGGTGTCCGTTGACAGCCATTCCTTGTCTTGTCTCTTCTTTCTTTCGAGGAAAGTTGTACACGTTTCCTTGAACATAGCCTTCAGAGGGTTAGTTCCAAAGTTCACCACACAAGTTTCCTCAGAGATATCACATAATGTCTTTGACTTAATATGTGCAATTAGCTGTAGATTATAAAGAATTAAAAGGAAAAACGTGCTAACAAGTAGATAAATGAATAGTTATGGTAAACAGAGGAGTGAGCTAGGGAGGAATACGCAATAGTAAGGAAGTAGTTTACATTAAACGCATTATTAAAATATACTACGTGAGTTCAGATGGGATAGTCCATTTGTAAAAAAGTTGATGTGTTGCTGTGTGATAATCAAGAATCCGCCTAAAACTATCCAACAAAGGTGCAACAGACATGGCTACTGTCAGAGAGTTCCAGGAGCGGATAATCCTGGTACTCCGTGGATTGTCACGAAAAAGACATTGTTGAGTTTGTTTGAGTGATTCCAGTCATATGAGATCAAGTGGACAGCAATTAGGTCACTTCAAAACTGACTATAGTCACACACCAAAGTGCCTGTTATCCTCAATATTGCGTCGTGCAGTTTATTTTGGAGACCCTTGACTCACTTTGGATCGTTCTCAGGAGGGTAGTGTCCCATTTTAGAACAGCAGTTTTCATTTGCACCAAAGAGAGTACAAATAAAATAACATTTTTAATATATCCTCAATTGCATATTAAAAATGTGGTCTCAATTTCTGTTATTCGGAAGTCAATAAAAATATCACCCATTTCCCATGTTCATGCTTGTGTTGTTTAAATACATCACATCATTGATACACACCTCTGTGGCCTAGACACCAATACTGAATTGTTATGAATTTGTCGGGGAGGTTCTTCGTAAAGTCTAATTATATAAGAGCAGCTAAGGTAAGACAAGTTTACCAGGGTTTACTAATTTCATAAAAGGATGAATGGGTTCTCTGTGACGTAAGGTTGTTGACAGATGATACCGACACATTCTTGTGCATCAAGTCATTACCATCTTCTATATTATTAAATGGCACTAACAACTACTCTGAAAGTGATGACGGTAAGATCCCTGAGAAAAGTCCATATCGCGTGGAAAATTTTGCCACAAGACCATTCACTGCTCTCTGTAACCTTAGTGAATACAAATCATGTTCAATGAGAACGGAGACCGTCAATTCAAGCGCCTCTTTCGCTTTGAAGCTTGTTCCCTCAGGAGTTTTTGGAAACAAAAAGCTTCTCATTGCTACTGAGGATGAAAATGAGATCACTACATGGCTGGCCATTTGTAAAGCATGCATTGGTAAAAAGTCAAGGAATGGCTCATCGGCTCAAAGAGACTTGGCATGTAATATGGGAACCTTGAGCAAATCCGGAAGCTTCATGTCACTCAAACCGAATTCCCAGGCTTGTGAAAGCGAGTTTGATGACGCTTTGATGGATAATGAAGTTTATGAGGCATACTCATCAGGTAAGCTTTTAAAGAACTATTTGTTGTAACACCACCCACTTTCAATTTTATGCGAACGCTTTGACACTTAAATAGAGAAACCTAGTTAAAACTCTACGTTAGTCCAAACTGTTCAAGTGTGCAATAAACCGTTATATATTCTTTCGCAGGTTACACAGTGCTACAGACATATATAACAAATAAATGATAATTAAGCTTCGATGTTTTTATTTAATAACTAATAAATTTTCCGCATTATCTGTGAACATGTTATCAATTTTCATTAGCCTACCAGACTGCTAAAAGCACGGGAAACCATTGAGTAAATGAGTTAGCGGAAGTTCCACGGCTTTTAATTGAGATGGTTTATTTATGAAGATACTGGTTGGATCGTCGAATTAACAGTAAATTAACAATAAAAGGAATTATGATAGTAACTGCGACGACTAAGCTATTTCTCCAACTTTATGGAACATATTTTAATACAATTGGTTGTAAGAATGACTTGCTTCGTGTGTTTGATTTGCCCAGTATACTTAAACAGTTTTAAAAAGGGATTGTTTTGAGTAAATCAAGTCTTATTTCCAATTTATTGAATTGTTTTTGGTTAAATTCGGCTTAAGCGACCGATGTAAAAATACGTTTAGGTAGTTTTGGTCTGAATCATCTATCCTACATATTAGAGGGTAAAATCGTCAATTTCTTATACGCGTAATCGAGTAAGAGCAGAAGTACATTTGTAAAATGACGACAAGAATTTTATAAAATATGTGAAGCTTCTTATATGCTTCGACATGCTAGTAAGCAGTTGTGCTATTATACAAAAGTAGTATATTAACAAGCTGTACACTAGTGAAAACTAAGCTAAACAAGGTACTAACGTCGCAGTTGAACCGGCATATTAAAGAGCAGGATTTATAGTTCGCGTAAGAATAAAATATAAGTTCCTCCAACAGTAAAACCTCTCGCTATGTACTGAACGTAAGACATTTAATTAGCACAGACAGGAGCTCAATACTTGTTCAACGGTAGGAGGACAAGGCACACTTTAGTTTGCTAAAGAAATATAACCTGAAGTTTGCTTTCAAAACCAAATGGTGTCAAACATCTGACTACTTCTTTAGTCTTTTTAAATGGAAGACAAAAATGTTTTTTTTATTGTTTTACAGAGTCGTTAACACTTTCCACTGTTGTTTTAATGTTTTATTTCTAACGTATTTCTTGAGCACACTAGCTTTCATATGATTATATGTAATAAGCAAATTTAAGCTATCATCGAATACTGCTGAATGTCATTCATTTTTTCATGTGCACATTCTTCTGTTTTGACTGAATTAAGTGCATGAAACTCATTATTTTTATCTTCTAATATTTCTCAAAGACATGGAACCTATGGGTTTAATTTATGCATCCTTTCAACATATGCATGTTTTTATTTTAATTCTTTAAGTTACATATGTGTGTGAAGGCAGTTTTATAAGACAAAAATTATGGCATTAAATTCTGCAAGTGAAGTTCCTCTCGTATTCTTTTAAACATTTACCTGAGCTAAACACTTCACACTTGCCAGAAAACCTCACCATCTTTCTTAAAAATACAAATTAATATGTTCTGAAGCTAAATATTCGTCAGCATATAGGCGTTGTCGTTTTAGGCATTTTACAAGAACACGAATTTATCGTTTCTATGACCAGCTAGATAGATAAAACAGTTTTATAGACTTTAAAAATCTGAGGGAGATACACTTCAGTGAAATTCTTCGTGCATGGCCGTTTTGTTATTTCTAGAATTTTATCAGCAGAGGTAGCTAAGTCGTCTATAATAACACCTTGAAGCGTCACCAGCACCGCCTGTATTGACTGTGGCAGTTTGGATAAGGACAGTTCTCTGAAAAGTCCCTCATCGAAATGACGTTAGCCGATAACTTCCCTCAATCTCGTTAGCATGTTCACAGCCCACTGATCACCTAACTCCACGTTGCGAAATAGTTCGTCAAGAAGCTGTAAATCTGTGAGGTTGTTTCTCTTTAGTAGGGTTGCTTTAAGCAACTCATACGAGTAACTTACCTCTGGGCTCAATATATGCGCAGTCACGCATTTGCTTAATTCCCGCGGAAGGGCGTGGACAACTGCAAGGAATTGTGAACGTAGGTCAGTTAACCCATAGTCACTGAAATCAGACTTGGCTATCGGAAACCATGATTTTACATTATCTGGTGAAAATGGCATGCGCTGAATAGTTTTGGTCGTTGTTCGAATATGGATGACCTTAGGAGTATGATCACTCATGGCAAACTATATATAGTTTAAAAATAATACAAGAACAAATACAAAATGGAACAAACTCACCGAATTTGTCTGTGTGTTTACCAAAGATGAAGTTTGAGGTAGGGCTCACCAGTATACAGGCTGAGGGTGTTGACATTCACGGATAGTACGAAATATACTAACGCAAGATCCAATACTCACAACTTCTATAGTATTCGTTCCTTACTATCTTAAGGATACTTTTCAATAATGCATGTCAAGCATATTCGAGATATTCATGTGTACCTTTGCTTTGTTAGCATTTTCCTGCTTAAATGCTTATAAAATTAGTGTACGAGAGCAAATCATCTGGTACATACTGATGGTAACCACAAAATATTTGTCTGTCTCTTGAAAATATTGATTCATAAATTGTCCATATAGGGAATACTTCATTTGTAATACAGCACTCATTTTCAATCTTCAAATCTTTAAAAGTCATTAACACTTAACTGTATGATATGTTAGTTGATAAAATGTAAAAATACCACGATAAGACAGTGATAAATTCCATATTCTAAAAGCTGGTAATATTAACTTTTCTACACAGACTGCTTCGAAACAACTTACAGTGTGCATATTGAATCATTTAAACCATAATATAATAAAGGAATGGACTGATATATTTAAGGTATTAAGATGATATTTAGGATGAAAGAATTCTTACTCCTGTGGTTTACAGTTGGTATTCTGGGTTAATTTTCAAATAACTGCGGCCATCTTGAAAATTTAAAACCAAAGAGTGAATGTCAATTAAATTGAAATCATGCTTTACAATAGGTGTAAGTAGGTTTTCCCGTTGAGTATCGTACCAGTAGTTTTCAGGTGGCGATGATAAATATCAGTCATGTTTAACCTTCGAGAATGTTTCTCTATGTTGACAAACATAATTTAACTAAAAAAGAAATCAGTGTGGAAATCTACAGTACTCAGTATAAAGAACGAGATTCGGATTTTCAACACCAGTATCAAGTTAGTGCTTCTATATGTTCCAGAGACTTGGCAAGTGCGTCACCAAAAGCATTTCCAACAGGCTACTGCAGACTTTCATAAACAGCTGCCTTCGTTTAGTACTGAGGACCAGATAGCTAGAAGAAATAAGCAACAGGGAAATCTGGGAAGGAACCAATCAAGAACCTATTGCCCGGCAGATATACAGAAGGAAATGGAAATGGATCAGACACACGATGAGAAGACCGTTAGGTAACATCCCGCACCAGGATGTCGAGTGAAACCTGAATGCCTAATGGCGAGTTGGGCTTCCTAAGGTGACATGGAGAAAATAGTGGAGACAGCTAAAGAAGATTGCGAAGGATAAGATGGAACAGAGATGTACTGATGAATCCCTCTTTTTCACCTCGAAACCCAAGGGAATAATGAATGAATGAATCCAAAGCAAGGCATCCATTCATGAAGTCTCTGATTGTTGGTTTATTATAGTTTATTTGCATTTCTTTTTACTGTCTTGTCCTACCTCCATATCCTCTTTTATGAACTGCTGCAATTTAGTGCAAAGTTTTACGTGAGAAATTCAGTTCATTTCAGATCACATCGTATTTAAGTTGCTTTTTATCAACAATGTGTTATTAGACTCAGTAATTCTTTATATTTTGAATTTTATCGCTTTACGTTCCTAGGGGAACATAGGGCTTCAAGCTAGAGCTTTGAAGTTTTAGTAGCATTGGTGTTTATTTTTACGAGGTGGAGTTGCCAGCCTCACGCCCGACCTTCCCTCTTTACGATCTTATTACCGACTTAGCAGGGTTTAGGAGATTGTCGGCCGGGGTTCGAACCCCGAACCACATGCGTGGTTGGCAAGCAATCTACCGCTGTACCACCGACCCACAAAGCGCTTCCGGGCCGCTTGGGTGAGAGCCAGGAAATTCTAAACGCCACTTATTTAAATTCAATTCGTTATCTGGAAAATCAATCTTTTGGTTATCTCTTTACATTATAGCTGAATGGAAAAAGATTATTACTTAAAAGTAGTAGGAAACAGGTATTTAAAAGGAGTTTTTGAAAATTCTCTGGTAATTAGCACATGCGCCCTCTTCATCACTAGTATTATTTAATAGGCTTAACAGATTAATTAACCTGTCAATCATCCTTAGATCATTGGGTTAAACTATTTTCACTTTTTAGAGTAGATTTTTTTCTAATTCTCTAATTGTTAATATTAAAAATCACATGTTGAACAACAGACAAGAAATAATAATTTTTAAATCAAATTATTTATTTGTACTCACAGAAGTGCAAATCCCTGGTAATACATTAAAAAATTTGCCTAAAGGTCATTTTTCCATAGAAATTCTAAGCAACAGGTATAGAAACACTGAAAATGTGAATGTATTTAACAGCGGTGGGTATTCAAAACGCCAGAAAGAGTTTAACTGATGATATTCAGGCGTGCATTTACTTATCACTAAGGCATACTTTAGCTTTTGAAATGGTGAATGCTTGTCAGGCTCTCATTAAGAATACTATCACTTACTGGGATATAGGTACATGCTGATGACAAGTCCTACATAGGACGAAGCTTGTCTCGTGGATTTCAATAAAAGCCACTATCAACCAAATGTTCACCTACCACGCTAGAATTCAATGTTTCATAATTCTTGTCTTCAGAATATCCTTAGTGTAACGCGAAGTTCACCTTTGAATCTTTGAAATCTACAAATGCCTAAAAACGATACCAAATTGTGTATTTTGTTTTTAAGACATCTGTTAACATTTGGGTGGATGTAATTCAGATATCTAATAAATGTCAGGCTGTAACTGACAGTTATTATTTATGTTTCAAGATCCTTGATGAACACTCAACTATCATGTATTGTGAAGTCATTTTCAGAAGTTTGCTGACTTCGATGTCCTACATCATAAACTAGTTAGCATGTGTAGCATTATTTCCTAATCACTTAAGTCTATGCACTCTATTTTATGAAGGACACATTCAGTAAATTTGCAACTTTTTCTATCCTTCTTTTCCTGAGGACGAGGGGTGTGTAGTTACAGTAAACAATCACTAAGTTCCATTCGTCCAGTTATATTAATATCTACCTTCGACAGAAGTTATAACCCTGTCTCCCCTTGAAAGGTTATCGGATATAATAGACTTCCTTGTGAAGAAGACAAACAAATGTTCCAAATTTTCGATATCACTGACCGTAAATGTGAATGCTGTAAAGCAGTTTAATCAGTATCCTGAGACTGAAACGTTAAAAATCTGTTGTTATTAAATTATAGCTTTACTTACTTTAATCCTGTTTCCTTATTACACTTTTTATTTTTGTTAAATTGTTTCATCTCTTTATTACAGAGGATAAAATTCCTGCAGTTCTTGAAGAAGCTGGTGATTGGGTAAAATTACACTTGTGTCAACCAGACTGTTATCTGCGTCTAACAACAGATCGTCTAGAAGTTTTAGATTTTTACAGTCATAAACCTATCCATTGGTTTCCTTACCTGCTGATACGTAGGTAAGTCCAGAAGGAAACGTGTTTATTACCTAAATCATCAGTTATTTTTGTTATTGATTGTGAACAATCGAATTATTATCATTATTTTTTATACTATTATTCCCTTGGGTTCTGAGGGAAACACAGAGCCTCAGCAGCACATCTCCATTTCACCCTGTTTTCTGCAGTCTTTTCTGTCTGGTTTTACGATTGCCATAATATTTCATTTCCACCTGATAAGATCTCCATATCACTCTCGGACGTACAACTCTTCGTTTCCCTTTCGGGTTTCAGCCGACATCCTGACACGTGATGTCACTTAACAATCTCAGCGTATATCTAATCCGTCACCATTTCCCTCTTTATATTTGATGAACGATAGATTTTTTGTTGGTTTACTAGTTTACGACTTTATTAGCTCATCCATATCCCAGAAAAGGAGGGAAGATTGGGTGTAAGGCTAGCGACCCTAGTGCGGAAAATCAGTTCAATCATTACAAAAACTTCAAAGCATAGAGCAACCTGAGATAATATAATAATATGGCAAGGTTATCTAAAACTGAAAAGAAACCTTTTGTAGAAATAAGATTCTAACTAACAGTTTCAAGGTTACGGACCGGAAATCATTGATAACTTTACATACTGTACATTTTTACACCAAGTCCACTCAACGTTTTCGAGCTACTGACAGTGTTTCAGCTAGTAATGAAAGTAATTATTTTTAAACATCCTGACCTGTATGTCTTTATAATTGAGTATTAGTTATTCTAAAGTGAAATGTTGCTATGAAGTAACAGAACCAAACAGGGAAACTTGGATTTCAAACTTGAACAAATTTAAAGCAATCAGATATTTATTTCAAAACATAAACATAACTAATTATTATCATTCCCTTGAGTCCCAAGCGGAACGTCCCACTAACTGAAACAATATGCAATATATATGAAAATATTGATTCGAAGGGGATGAACATTGGTATATCCACTGAGTATTTCAAAGGAACTCCTATTGAGATGTACACTAAACGTCCAATTCTCTTTCAATAACGAAATATATCGACAAAAAGATGGTATGGCCATGGGCTCACCACTGGGCCCATTGCTTGCAGATTTTTTTATGTAAAAACTAGAAAACACATAACTAAAGAAAATGATTGACAACTTTGGGCTTAACAAGAGATACGTGTGCGACGCTTCCATTATCTCCAACAATGAGGAGAAATTGGAGAACATCTTGGACTTCTTCAACACCTGCGATCTTGCGATTCAGTTCACATTAGAGAAGGAGTCAGACACAAAAATATCTTTTCAGGACGTCCAATGAACAAGATGGAACACTTAAGAAATCCATCTACAGAAAGCCGACATGGAACGGACAACTTACTAACTTTCACAGTTGAGTGCCCCTATATACAAAAAGAAACCTAATCCATTCACCGAGCCACAGAATCCTCAGTATTTGGAGGCCTGATACTATGAAAGAAGAGCTAAACACTCTGAAGAGAATCCTCCTCCAAAATGGCTACCCAGAACGTGTCATCACAAAATCTATGAAACTTAAGCCACCAAAACCACCCACACTTTCTGCTTCCAAAATAACTTCTCTACCTAAATCTACAATTCAATGGAGACTCATCGGCAGAAATACTGAGAAAGCACCAGTCCCGCTCACTGAAGAAAACCTTCTTCGCGGCTGAACTCCGACTTTCTCTACGAAACCAATGATTCGCATAAACGTGAATGATAAGCCACCACAGTCGGCCTCATTAATGTGCATCTACCAATTCACCTGCTCGTGTGGAGCTAGGTATGTCGGCCGTACCCAGCATTTACTACCCGAACGTATCATCGAACACTTACCCTCATGGTTTTATAAAGGAGAAAAAAGTCCACCCGAAGCTCTGTTCTGGAATACTTGATCGAATCAACATACCAAGCAAACCCACAAAACAACTTCAAAGCTATCTACAGAGTACGTGGGAATCTTGTTACAAGAGTGCGGATCGAATTTCTTCAAACCACAGAAGCAATAGCAATTCATATACTAAATCTTGAATTCTGCATACTAAAGAAGTTTGTTCAGTCATTGAATCTACAGTGGACTTGACCTATCTTAACACCAAACACGTAACTTTTGCTTCGTCTTTTTCTTGCTTGTCTGTTTCTTATTTGTATTATTTCCCTCCCTCCCCGTCCTTATTACCGCTCTTGTTAACTTGACTTTTGTTCAGTTTTAATTTTAGTTGAGCTCTACTCAACCCTGTCAATTAGATTACGTCACTCAACTTGCTTATTTAAGTTTCTAACCCATTAACGAAATTTGTTATCTAAAATTTACAATTCTAATGACACATCCTTGGAAATATTCCTTTTTTTGCTAAGACAATTTACTATATGTATATGTGCGGTTGTACAGCTTGTGAATGATGTTGCTGAAGAGAGTAACTCTTTGATGAACGCCTTCTCATATATATATGGCCTAATGGGAATATTTAGGTTTCTGAAAAAGGACATGGTCATCTTGTAACTTGAACGTCCATGGTTTGATTGGCGAGTATAATAATGAATGTGTTCAGCTAAATAAAAGCAAACTAAGGGGAAACACCTGTCCACTAATTCCCCGTACTCTTCAGTGGTTCTCAAATTGACTTCGGTATGAGATGAAATCCAATTAATGGCACCTACTGAATCTGAATTATTCCTTTGGTCGTTGTTTTAAAAAAAATTAAGACAGCTGGACTCACTTTTTCTCCTTGTTGTTGTCAACGATGAAATGGTATACACCGACTGTTTATTTAGAATCACGCAATCTAACCATTGTAGTCGTTTTGATGACTTTAACGTGGAAACAGTTAAGACGAATTTTTTTAGCGAATAAGACATTGATAGTAGTTGTGTTTACCGTCTACTGACTTTTATCATTCGAAGCTTTATGACTTGGTGTCTGAGGAATAATCAGATCGTTTTCACAGTATGATCTATTTTTAAATAAAACTCAGTAACTAGACTATCTCAATCAAAAAATATATATCACAGTTGTGACTTAATTCCGGCAGTATTTCAAATTATCTTCCCTCATCAATGGCATACAATATATAATCTGATTTCATTCAAATCAAATTAGTCATGTAAATATCTGATGAAACTCTGTCTCAAACATGTAAATCATCTGTCCTGTATTGAGATCACAACTTGTGATCTGGTTGACAAGATATTCTGATTAGTGTTTGCTTGTACTTATGCATTTGTAGGTTGCTGTTTTTTTTCGCAGTGATGCATTATAAAGGACATTCGAGTCATGCGGTATGACTGTTATTTATTTACTGTAGATTCTAATTTAATCTACTTGTCATGATTTTACAAGTTCCTGTTCCAATATTGTTTCTCTGAGCTCATTGATTAAAATAATGAAAGTGGTTTCAACATGTTATTATTATACACTTTATAATACATATTCTTTATCAGATAATTTTATCATCTTCAAGTATTGGTTTGTAGGGATTTTGTTTTGATTGCTTGGAGGATTTCTTCATGAGCTGACATCAGTTAGAGAACCATTGGAAAACCAGGGAGTACTGGACAGCTGTTTCCTCCGTCCTAGTTTAGGACTCTTCATCAGTACGCACCCACCGGAGCTCGAACCCAGGTCCTTCTGGTTACAAGGTGAGCTAGCTGGGACCCGACCCAATGGCCCATGAATTCTAACTGATGAAGAGTCCCAAACTAGAACAAAACAGCTGTTAAGTACTCCCAGGTTTTCAAATGGTTCTCTAACCGATTCCAGCTAGTGATGAAATCCTCCAACTAATCAAACGAAATTCCTACAAACCAATACTTGAAGAAATGATATGATGCTCACTAGCGACTGGCCCTATTCAGGCAGTTACCTAGGGTACTAGTAGGAAGTCTTGACCAGTAGGGTCGAAGATGAGGACAGTTATTCATCGAAGAAGATATTGCTAAGTGGTCGCGCTATGTCGTGAATTCTATCATCGTAGGTAGCTTATGTAACGTGTGGAGGAATTTTTAATCACGATGGAAGTTTTTTTGGTTGAATTCAGATATCGTGTGAGTTTTCGTGCTACGTGGTGCTTTTGAAGAGTTTGAAATATTAGAGAAGATTTATCGCATAGATGAAGTGCTTCTAATGTTGTTTTGTTCTCTAAGTTGGATTAATTTAAGTGTAGAGCTTTAACTGACCTCTTCTGGACATAATCTTCAATGCTGAATTGAGTGCGAAGTCTCAGTCGACTTTTCAGCCAATTTGTCTTGGGTTCAAACTCCCGCCTCACCTACTTCAGCATGCATAACTGAATTGTATTATCAGTCGTCAAATATAATGAATAATGTAGCTCGTAGTCTGGTACATGAAAGTCTTGTTCTGGATAACTGATTACTAATAAATAAATAAACATAGAGGGGCAGTTTGGTGCAAATGTGTCACAGATGTAGTGGTTGAAGTAGAGGTCTTCTTCTCAAGTCATATATTCTAATGGGACATATGAGCATTTAACAGCTATTGATTCAGCTAAATGGAATTATTTTGGACAAACTTATTAATTATTAAGTGTTGGTTTGCAAGGGTTTGATTAGCTACAGGTTTAATCGCGAGTTAACATCAGTTCTAGTGAAAAGTCGTAACCAGTGGTGTCCAAAAAGCCACGTAAGAGGTCAGTTACTCGCCTATGATAAGGACTGGAAGTTGTGCTATATATATATATATATCGCGAATCGGCAAAAGTTGGAATTCATGGGTCATCGGGTTGGGTCCCAGTGGCTAGATTGTTTACGAGCTCGTCTTATAGCCAGAAAGTCCTTGGTTCGAACCCCAAGCAGTGCACACTGCTAAAATGTCCTAGACTAGGACGGAAGAAACAGCTGTCCAGTACTCCCAGGTTTTCTAATGGTTCTGTAACTGATATCAACTCGTAATAAAACCTGGAACTTATGAATCTCAATCAATTTGAATGACAACACATAGTGCAGATAAAAACAAGAGATCTATTATATTTTATCAAAATC